AACAACAACAACAACAACAACAACAACAACAACAACAACAACAACAACAACAAATACACGGCGTCACAAACCTTCTTCTTGTGGAGATGTACACGACAATAGCGAACGTCTTCTGAACATCTTGACATCACTTCACACCATCAATAAATAAACACATTATAGCGCAATCCATCTTTAGAAACCACAATGACTTAATGCTGATCAAGAAGACCACGATGAGAGAATAACACTGCTTCCGTTATCGAAGGTTAAAGAAAGACTTATTGAGGCCACAACAATAGTAGTCCAGATGTTTTTCATGCTAACCACACATCCCTGGAAAATGATGTAGCCTACTGTCACCCTCTGTATGCTCGATTCTTCTTCACGCTCATCTTTTCTTTTTTTTTTTTTTTAATCTCAACAGCAGATTGTTGTCGTTGTTGGTGTTGGTGGTGTTTTTGCTGTTTAGTTTTGGGGTTTTTTTTCTTTGTGTTTTTTTGTGGGGGTTTTCTTTAGATTTAGACTAAAGAGTCACTTTTTTTGTCAAAAAATTGTCTAGGTAGTTTATGTCCGTTTGGACAGAGCTCTAAAGCGGCTTTCTATTACTGTCCACTGATATGTTACAGAGCTGGAGTACCCATTATCTCACATACCTTCAATTACAGGTCATTTAAGTATCTTGAATTGACACAATCTCAGTTAATAAATTCCCTCCCGGCGTCAGCTTTGCTTAACAGTGTGAAAAGTCACGCACAGAACATGACACATAATATAATACGCTTATTATATTATACAAGTACAATGTGCATATTTTATATAAGTATATTATATACTCTTTTCTCACTATTAATTTATACGTTGCCAATCTAGTCTGCAATATAACGTAATCCGGCATTTGCACTGTTTTAGAAACACATTAAACACAACAAACGCACTTCAGAACAGTTAGTCCTAACTGTGAACACAGATCGTCCGCATAGAGCAGAGAGGTTTCTGGTCCACTGCAGCGCCCGGACACCGCGCG